CTTCAATACTGGGACGTAAATCCTCTCATTGCTCTTATGAGGGGGCCGTCGTATATTTTATTTAAACGTATTTGCGAGAACCCATTTCAACTGGAGGAGAAATGCTTTCAGTTACTTTACGGCAGCGTCGTCAAACTAATCGATAACTGGATCACAACACCATTCTGCGCGAACCTTAAAATCGCGCGAATATTCGCAAAAAGTTGAAAACACTTTCTTTCCCGCCCCCAAAATTTTAAATCTTGCGAATCGCCAAAATCTTAAAATTTCTGACAGCGCCGCCATGATCAGTAAAATTGGACCAATGAGAGCAGTTTCGTCTACGTGAACAAGACTTAACTTGTCATAACTATAGCTTTCTACCTATTGATTCAGTGTTGCTTCACAGCTTTACTTGCATTCACAATTTTCTCTCAAAATTAATTTAAAATTATAAAGCACCTATTTTAGAGATATATACGGATTTTATTATATACATTATACGCAAATAGATAGATGCATAATAGATAATAGAACCAAACCTCGTTCCATTTGAAAAAAATTGAGATATCATTAAAAATACGATTTGGGCATTTTCTAACAAGCCAGTACAAGACACTAAAAACATTAGGCGATCAAATCCAAGGCTCCTTGATTAAGAATTAGTGTTTTTAACATAGCCATAGCAATCTAGATTGAAATTTAAAATACCATTTTTTTGACAAATGATATGCCATTCTATTCAGAATGTCATTTTCTATCGAATGAAGTAAAAAATAGCAAGGGTGCTATTTAAAAATCAACAGTTGTAGTCATTTCCGGTGAAACAGGAAGTGACCAAAACAATTGAATACGTCAATCAATCCCAATTTATGTCATATACCATATCTCGTTTTTATATCTGAAAAAATAATAAAGTTATAGGGATGAGCTACTTTTGAGACGCACCCGGTGTCACATATAGGATTACGTCGTAGGAGGCTCTCCCAGAAAAGAAAACAATAAAAATAACTAAAAAAACTAATTATCGCCATAACTATTCACATCTTTACTAATGTGTCGAAATACATAAAATTAAGTAAGCATGAAATGAACTATTATACAGGGTGGAGCTTTCTACGATGTTCTCTATGGGTTAAACTACTGGAGCTAGAGAATCGGTTAAATAGGGAAAGAAATGCATATGCGCCTTTCGGATTTTTGAAAAAGTTTATGGCTTACTAGATATTTCGAAAAAAAATAGTTTCGAAAAAATGAAGAGAGTTCTTCAAGTGAGCTCATAAGCGAGTTCACAAGTGAGCTCGCAAGAGTGGATTCACAAGAGTGAGTTCACAAGAGTGAATTCACAAGAGTGAGATCACAAGAGTGAGTTCACAAGAGTGATTTCTTCGTCTTTTTCTAAAGCCTGTCATTTTTGATATATGACACAAACATGTTTTTTAAATGGAAACCAGAGTTGGCCATGACTTCATAAAAAGCGCCATGTTTTAAGCTTTTCAGCAATATAATAAGCTATAATACGTTTTTTTTTACAAATTACGACGAGTTATGACGAACTCTTATCTTTTTTAGCTAATTTCACTTAGTTGGCTTGGTATTCTTATTCTATTGTGATTTATAACTTATAAAAAAACAGAATATTTTATTGCGGTCCTTTACAATTTACATCAAACAAATAAAAAACTTAAAAAACTAATATTACTACGTACCTACATTCTAAGTAATTTTCGCAAATATTCAAAAAAATCCGCCAATGTTTTGAGTATATAAAATGCATCTTTTTAAAACTGAATTAGAAGCTTTTCTCACAGAACAGCGGTCGACATTATTAAACTTCTCCCGTACCGCCGCGCCGCTTCGAGTGAGTCTCTTGATGCATAAGTTTCTTGTAAACCTTGCTGTTAACCATACCGCATAAAAAAATTAAAACGGATAGGTCATGTGACCAGGGAGCCTATTCAACTGGTCCACCTCTTCCTATCCCTGAGTTTGCATAATTATTATGATATAAATAATTTTTTACATTATTTTCATTATGAGCGTCATAATGAAAGTCATATTGGAACCGTTGATGCACGAGTCTCTAAATTTAACATGTCTTGAAAACCGTTCACCGGTTAACATATCCTAGAAAATGTATAGTCCAAGAAGAGTTGAACCACAGCTATATAGTATACATTTTCTTTGCCTAAATGATCACCCTGAAACCATTAAAAATTCGGGAAAGAAACCATATGTTTATGCTTCCTAATTTTTGCCTGTTAAAGATGGAGGTGAGATAGTTTGTAAGGTAAGTTAAAAATTTTGTATCTAATTTATGAAGTACTTCTAACTTTACGTGTATGTCGAATAGTCTAGCAATAAAATAACAAAAAAGAATACTTTTTAATATTTTATTGTTAAATTTCAGTAGTCGGACTCCGTGTGTTTTTACTAATAGAAGCATGGTTTTATGAACCGCATTGGTATCGTTTAAAGATGATTTTTTCATATAGATAATATACAGGGTGGCGCACCTCATTCGCCACGGTTGATTATACAAAAACGGAAAGATGTAGAAACAAAATATTTTATGGGTATATGAGGAAAGGCAATGTGCATAATTTAAAATTATTTTGAAATATACAGGGTGTTTCAGAACTAAGATCCATACCAAAGTTATATTTTTTCTTATGGAACACCCGGTATTTTATTTCATTTTTGGATTCTTGGACCCAAAAAAAGGCACTTATAATAAGGGTTAAATATGTTTAAAATCTTTGATTTTTGAGATATTTAAAGATATTTAAATATGCATGCTACAAGAGAATTGATTATCAATGCCCTGTACATTACTTCTCAGAATTAATTCTTGTGCTAAGTTTAAAGGTAAAGAAATAAACTTTATTGAAAAATGATATTGCTTCCTTAAATTTATACAGGGGTATCAAAAATTGCTGATCTATTTTAAGGATTTATTTTATATAAAAACTTTGTTATTTCAAATACAACACCCCGTATTTTTTTAAATAAACCGAAGCAGATTCAAATGCTCCTTCAAACTATGTTAGGGTTCCTATACCTATCTAGCTCAGATTTTGAATAAAAAGGGATTTTTTAAATAAAATTGCAATCAAGATGGCTGGTGTCGCCATGGCAATTTGCTACTGACAGTTAGTAACTATTTTCAAAGTCGACATTAGTTTATAGACATTATTATTTATAATTTAAAACAGTTTACTTAGATTTGCCTACAATAATAGTTTAATAAGTAAGTAGATATTAATTATTTTATCAAAAAAAAATAATGAATATAATAATCTGGGCTGGCGGAACGAATGGATATGTTGTGATTTATTTTTGAGGAAAAGCTTCTTGGCCTCCAGAGCTTATGCTCAAAGATATACAAATAGGAATCTTTGTGATAAGCGTTCCTTTGAAAAACTACTTGTCCTATTTCGCAGAGCTGATAATGGGGTTTATAAAAAAATCTATTAGGCAGAAACCTGTCGTTGGAAGTGAAGAAAATTAATTTGCCGTAATTGGCTCTTTTATAAAAAAATAATATATCTACAAGTCATCGTAAAATAAATAAAAGAACTACTTCGTTTTCCTGGATAGAATAACAAATACATATATTTAATAAATATTATTTATTAAACTATTTTAGGGGTAAATTAAATAAAAGTAAACTGGTATAAATTTAAATAAGTCCAAAAACTAATTTCCATTTTGAAAATAACTACTAACTGTCACTAGAAACTTGCCATGACAACACTAGCCCTTTTGGTTGCCATTTTATTGAAAAATTGCTCTTTATTCAAAATCTGAGCTAGATAGGTATAGGAAACTATAGTTTGAAAGAGCATTTGAATCTGCTTCGATTTATTATAAAAAAATACAGGGTGTTGTATTTGAAATAACAAAGTTTGTATGTAAAATAAATCCTTAAAATAGATCAGCAATTTTTGATACCCCTGTATAAATTTAAGGAAGCAATAACATATTTCACTAAAGTTTATTTCTCTACCTTTAAATTCTGAAAAGTAATGAACAGGGTGTTAATAATCTATTCTATAAGTAGCATGCAAATTTAAATATCTTTAAATATCTCAAAAACCAAAGATTTTAAACATATTTAACCCTACCGTATAATAAATGCCTTTTTTGGGCCAAGAATCCAAAAATTAAATAAAATATCGGGTGTTCCATAAGAAAAAATATAACTTTAGTATGGATCTTAGTTCTGAAACACCCTGTATATTTCAAAATAATTTTAAATTGTGCCCACATTGCCTCCCCACATATACCCATAAAATATTTTGTTTCTACATCTTTCCAGTTTCGTATAATCAACCGAGATGAATGAGATGCGCCACCCTGTATAACAAAAAACGGTATACAATGTTCAAGATTAAATTTGCTTTAAAATTATACATAATAATATAATATATATTAAATACGGGACTGTGCAGAATCAGCCAATCAAAAAGTGTCCGCGACTTCTGGTAACTACCCGGCCGGACACTGACATACATACATACATACATACATACATACATACCCGGCCGGACACTGACAAGCGCTGTCGGACTACTGACAAAACAGCACTTTTAACACTTAAAAAAATAATTAAAATCACTGGAAAGTTTACGAAAAAACTGTTATATTTAATTTGGAGCCCAATAACCACACTATCTATTTCATAAAATTTCATTTCCATACCATCAATAAAGAAAATTTAATCAACAATTTAAACTCAACTTTTTCTAAACTGTGCGATCACTGGCTAATTCACCCTACCCATAGAGAACATCGTAGTATCGTAGAAAACTCACCCTGAATAAAAAAAACACTACATATTTTTTTTCTAAAAATAAAATAAAATATAAAAATTAATACTAATAAGATTTTGATGTGTTTGTCAAAATTTTGATTAGTTTACTAAATCAATTTTAATAATAACAACTATAACTACAAAGTTTAATATAAAATGACAAAAATATATTTCTAAAGCATTACCAAAATATAATATGATTTACCTTGTCACTGATATTCCAATACTGTGCCAATACTAAAAAGTAACAAAATTCCGGAAGCACATTTACATTTAATAACAATTGTTTTTGGACAGCACGCGCATCTATTGTGTAACTAGTAGCGATCACGTTTCGTGCTACACAACCGCTGGCATTGTACTGACAGTACGGTATCGGTGCTCGGTCAAATAAAACGAACAAAATAGATTACCGCTGATTCGGGCATTTTGCTATTATGAGTACTTCTTCGATTATAAGTACCTACTTCGTGAATTTATTCCTAGCAATGAAAAATATTTTTGGAATAATATGTTTATGAAAAATCTTTTGTAAAAACAGAATGGGACATTTTTTTAAAATTCAAATGCCATTACAAATTCCCTTTAAAAATAATTTTTAAATATCATAAAATACTATAAAATAAACGTTGCGAATTACCCATAACTTTGGTAACTATACGGGGTGTTCCTCAGAAGTAGCAATACTACTTTTTTATTTTCTCTCATAACTCACTCTCACGCATAACTTTTTTATTTTTTCAGATAAATAAACCATATCTGGTACGTTAGTATACAGGGTGGCGCACCTCATCCGCCTCGGTTGATTATACGAAAACGGAAAGATGTAGAAACAAAATATTTTATGGGTACATGTGGGAAGGCAATGTGCATAATTCAAAATTATTTTGAAATGTACAGGGTGTGTCACGAACTAAGACCTATACCAAAGTTATGTTTTTTCTTATGGAACACCCGGTATTTTATTTCATTTTTGGATTCTTGGACATAAAATAAGGCATTTATTATAAGGGTTTAATATGTCTAAAAGCTTTGGTTTTTGAGATATTTAAAGATGTTTAAATATGCATGCTCTAATAAAAAAGTACATTACTTTTCAGAACACCTCGTACATTACTTTTCAGAATTAATTCTTGTGCTGACTTTGAAGCCAAAGAAATAAACTTTACTAATAAACTTGATTGCTTCCTTAAATGTATACAGGGGTATCAAAAATTGTTGGTCTATTTTAAATATTTATTTTACATAAAAACTTCGTTATTTCAAATGCAACACTCAACTTTTTTTAAATAAGTCGAAGTAGATTTAAATGCTCTTTCAAAATATATTAGGGTTTCCTATACCTATTTAGCTCAGATTTTGAATAAAAAGCGGTTTTTTAATAAAATTGTAATCACGATGGCTGGTGTCGCCATGGCAATTCTCTAGTGACACTTAGTAGCTATTTTCAAAATCGGCATTATTTTATGGACTTTATTTAAATTTATAACCAGGCTATTTTTATTTAATTTATCTACAATAAGGTTATTAAGTAAGTATTTATTAGTATTTTATCAAGAAAAATGAAGCAGTATCTGATGACGGAAGGAATGGATATGTTACTAGTGATTTTATTTTGTGAGGACAATTGCTTGTTAGCCTGAAGGGTTTATGCTCAAAAATATCCAAATTATAATAAAATATAAATATCCAAATAGTAATTTTTTGACAAACGTTCCTTTGAAAAACAACTTTTCCTATTTCGCAGAGCTGATAGTGTGGTATATGAATATTAGGCAGCATCCTGTCATTGAAAGTGAAGAAAATGAATTTGCCTTAATTGGTTCTTTTATTGAAAATCCAATATATCTACAAGTCATCCTAATATAAGTCCATAAACAAATGTCGATTTTGAAAATAGCTACTAACTGTCACTAGCAAATTGCTATGACGACACCAACCATCTTGATTGCCATTTTATTGAAAAATCGCTTTTTATTCAAAATCTGAGCTAGATAGGTATAGGAAACCCTAATATAGTTTAGAAGAACATTTAAATCTGCTTCGATTTGTTTAAAAAAATACAGGGCGTTGTATTTGAAACAACGAAGTTTTTATGTAAAATAAATATTTAAAATAGACTAGCAATTTTTGATACCCCTGTATACATTTAAGGAAGCAATACATTTTTTTAGTAAAGTTTATTTCCCTGGCTTCAAAGTCAGCACTAGAATTCACTCTGAAAAGTAATGTACAGGGGGTTGAAAAACTTTTTTATTATAGCATGCATATTTAAATATCTTTAAATATCTAAAAAACCAAAGCTTTTAAACATATTAAACCCTTATAATAAATGCCTTATTTTATGTCCAAGAATCCAAAAATGAAATAAAATATCGGGTGTTCCATAAGAAAAAATATAATTTTGATATGGATCTTAGTTCTAACACACCCTGTACATTTGAAAATAATTTTAAATTATGCACATTGCCCCTCTACATATACCCATAAAAAAAATAGATTTCTACATCTTTCCGTTTTCGTATAATCAACCGAGGCAAATGAGGTGCGCCACCCTGTATATGACATAAATCGAGATTGATTGACGTATTCAATCGAAGGGGTGGCTGCAATAAACAGGCAGCTCCACTTTTTTTTGAAAAAGAGATTTTTAATGAATTGCCCTTTAAAAAAAATTGGCGCCGGGAGGCGCGTATAGCCGCCCATACTAAAAAAGTTGGTAGGCAGTTCTTTTAGTTTCAAAGTAAAGGAATTTTTCCCAATTTTGGTTCGCGGTTATTTCCCCTATCCGTCGCATCCGGGGTCGCGTCCGATGGGAGTTTGGAGTTCTCCACACGGGTTTTCACAAAAAATCTTAAATTGAAAACCGCGTTTCCCTAGCTACTGTAATTTTGGAGTTACGATTTTCTAAAAATTTTAACCCCCTTACCAACCACCCAAAAAAAACTAAGGCCAGATTCTCGGGTGTCACAGTATTTTTGTGCCTAATTTGGTTAAAATCGGTTTAGCGGTTTTTGAGTTATCGTGTTACAGACAAACGGACAAATGTCAGGCAGACAGACACCATGAAAATATTTTGTATTTAGGTCATTTATGACCCAAATAACTCATTTTGAGTGAAATTAAAAAAACTTGTTTTTGCCGATCTTAATAGCCTACCATACCTGCTGGCATAAAAATTAGCCGATCGTTTCCTGCAACAATCAGTTCTCTCAATATAACAATACATACATGGCGACGTTAGTTGGAGCCACCTTGCTTTGGTTTTACAGCAAGAACCGAGTAGCTCTTTTTCGATTTCCCACAAATTTATTAAAATGGAGCTGCCTGGTTATTGCAGCCACCCCTTCTATTGCTTTCGGTCACTTTCTGTTTCATCGAAAATGACTACAACTTTTGTTTTTTAAATGGCACTCTCGGTATTTTTTTTTACTTCATTCGATTGAAAGTGACACTCTGAATACAATGACATATCATACGTCGACTTTCGACATTCTCGCTTTTGCATTTCATAAGTTCTTTCTAACTTTTAAATTTCAATCTAGAGTGCCATGGCTGTGTTAAAAACACTAATTTTTAATCAAGGAGTCTCGGAAAAATAAAAAGTAAAGTAAAGATTTCAGTTAACGTCTACTTTTTGCTGCCAGGGTTAATCTGGACGGGGCCTACTTTGTTTACGCGGAATCCGAATCGCGGTCCTCGGCCATATCATGGTCAATGGCCAACCGACTTGGCAAGTGTCTAAATCGACTCTTACTCACGAGATATCCGATCTCATCCGACCTCGAACCGGCGTGAATGAGCAGTGTGTGTCAATAGATTTTACAGTTTTGACTTTTTTTGGACAACAGCACGACGATACAGAGTTTTGAAGCGGTCACCCGTCCATCCACTAGTATCGCCTTACGTCGCTTAACTTCGGTGTTCTAATGGAAACCGGTGTTTCGACGTAGCTGGGCCCTTGCCCTTCTGAAAAATAGATCTGATCATCTGTTTTTCGTGTCTTGTCCTGGCCGGTTAAAAGATGCCCAAATCGTATTTTTAATCATAACTCAATTTTTTCATATGGAACGAGTGTGGCTCATTGGCATATTTAGAAAAAGCATTTTTAACGAATAATTTAGTACCACACACTTGGTATTTGGAGTCAATATGGTCATGGCACTCTAAATTGAAATTTAAAATGCTATTTTTTTTAATTGCACATGTTAAAAGTTGAATCAGTCAAATGTTAAAAGTTGAATTAGTTTACAATGTGATTTTCTATGGAATAAAGTAATTAATACCGAGCGTGCCATTTAATATTGAAAGGTTGTAGTCATTTCCGGTGAAATAGGAAGTGGCCGAAAACAATTGAATACGTTAACCACTCCTAGTGTATGTCATATACTAAAATACTTAATCTTGTTTTTATTTGAAAAAATAAAAAATATAGGGTTAACCACTTTTGAAAGACACCCGGTATAGATCATCTAGATGGATAATTTCCTTTCAAAGAACCGCTGGATTTATACTGAAAATAGTGGAAAGGCAATAAATTTATAAAACATCTATTACAAATAAAGAATTCTTTAATACTCTTGCAACCACAGCCCATTCAGTTACTAGCCTGCCAACTTATGGTATTTTATGCCAGGATCCCATTAGGCCACACGCCACGCTATCCCACGTGAGCCCGCGTGTTACGACGTGGGAAAGAGTGTAGAGGTGTACATATAAGGATTTGGGACAGACGAATCGCCCATCACACGTGTGGTAGCGTGAGATGGCGTGACGTGGGGTGGCGTGTTGCCTAGTGTGTACGCAATACATGTAATTAAATGGAAAAACATACACACAGATCTTCATGACGTGGGGTGGTATGGCGTGGCGTGGCGTGTAGCCTAATGGGGTCCCGGCTTTATAGTGAAATTTGGGATCCTTAGCTTATCTTATGTCACGAAGTTTCGCTCAAAAATCGATGTACGACTACTAGCACAGTCTATTCACACCAAAAACTTATGACCAACTTGCGACCATTCACTTTCGATTGCATAAAAATCTGTATACCTTAAAAACAAGCAAAGATAGTATACAAGTTGTTAATTTGTTTATTACTCGCGGCAAGAGCTTTATGGTTGAAATATGGCAATCTCGACCCGCCCGTCGAGAGACGAAGCGACGCGACAAGACGAGTCGGCAGCTTATATAGCTAACTTAACTTAGTATTCATTTGGAACGTAGGCAGTGTTGTCATTCTGTTCCCCAATAAGTAAACGTCCAGTTAACAATCTGTAAATATACACTAGCGTGTGCACAGGAATGGGTGAGATAGATAACATGCAAATTATTTTAAAGACGCAAAGAGTAATTTTATACTTTAACCATTATAGTTATATTATA